GTGAGACTTGGACTGTGTCCATGATGTGCAGAACCCCAATTTATCAATTCCTACAAAGAGCTTCAGACAACTTGAAACCAAACATTAGTTGCAGAAAGCTTTTCGTCGACTTGCATGAAGTGAAAATCAGTACGTTACATACTACCATCTCAGTAGACAGAAAATACAATTCAGCGAACCCCATTCATACCTGAGGAAATTATACGGATGATTTGTGCTACTCAATTCCGGAAAAGAAAGAGAAATGAAAATTTTGGATTGGCAATTCAAAACAGAGCTGTGAATCACAGTAATAAGGGTTACCGTTGGCCGTTTTGTTTGCTACAGCGTTATATATATCACCAATCTTTACAGATACGGCGCCAAAGAAACCATGGGTTTATTGCAAAATATGGGAATGAAAGGGGGGAAAAACAGTCGACTTAGGTGAATAACAAATTTTTCTGTTTAATGCACGCCATTTTTACTTTGCCACTAAAAACATTCGAAATTTGTCAAAAATGCTAAATTGCCGGCTTCTCTAAAGAGCTGGCAACACAATGTAAGATGAGTATGGACAAGTGAAGTCTGCTAATGCCGGAACAAGACAACCCCGACAAATGTACACTGTATACAGTGATTCAGCTATGCCTCTCGGTCATGAAGAAAGGTAAGCAATTTTGAAATAAAACTCTACCGCAACTGGATCTGCCCTTAAGTCAGCTTATCGAGACTAGTTGACAGTAGCCATTCAGCAAACACCAAATGTAGAAACCACACTTGAATAATGTCACACCAGTGAATTTTAAGGGCTCCATCCAGATGACGTTAGCTAGGGAGAACTTGCATTTGCAAGCCACTTGCAGAACAGTGCACAGGAATTTACTAGAGGTATTTCGGGGGAACAGAATAGTCAAAAGCTCTAAACCATTCGAGAATTCTTTTATCTCTAGGTAAGCTGCATGGTAGATAGAAAACGGGGGTAATAATGGGTTACCAAACTCACCTGCAAATCCGACCGAATACACAGCTGTTCCAGGGGGAAAAGCATACTTTGATGTATAGATTCCACATATTTCTCTACATCTACAGTTGAGCCATCTGTATCAGAGATGCGTCGCAACTCTGCAGAAACATGATCCGTGTTGCTGATACGGCCGGCGCAAACAAGCCATTCTTCGAGTACTTCCGTTAGGGGCTCTAAAGGTGGAGAGAGGGTCCATCACAGTTTTAAAGTGTTAGTCTAGTAGAATCAATACAATTTAAGATGAAGTATTTGCTCCTAAAGCCCACCCAGGAGAAGCAGTTACGCCGACCGATGGAAACTCCCCAATAGCGAATGCTTTCCTCGAGGGTACATGTAAATAGAGTCGCATACCTACACACTGACACAAAATACCACTGAGTTCGTGTACTAAAGACAAACCGCAGAAAGTCCTTTTGTGGTAGTTATTTAACTTGGGTAAGTGTGCGTAAACATTTCAGACCATCTAGTTGTTTCACAGGAGGTCATTAGAATAATTTCAAAAATGTTGTCAGTTGATATTCAGGAATTCTGTTTGTGCTATTTTATTGTGCGCAAACAGTTGTTTGAGAACGCCATTCATGTCTCCAGAGAGGTTAACTGTAAAAGCACCGTTGGCGTTTAACTTCATGGATAGTAAGGACATTAGAGCCACTTCGTATGGTTACTGCAACTGTCACAGAACGGCAGCTGAACACCCACAAATCCTGTTGAGACGGTCAATGAGAAAGATATCCTTAGCTCTCGATGAAGCAAAGGTTATTAATTTGCTCAAGAATGGAGATTACGAGAATAGTATCCCGACTTGGTGGAGGAATCCAAATACGTGGGATTATGAAAAAGACAGACTGGAAAATCAGTAGGAGCAAGAAACCTCAAGTGCTAGAAAAATTCACATTCATTAGCCTCAGAAAACGACGATGAAAAGGTAGTGGAATGCGAAAATATTCTGGTGAGGTGAGCCATTAAAGCCAAAAAGCTGTTGCGAACATTTGGAATTTACACCTTCAATGAAAATCGTAAGACAGCATAAGCTAGTAACTCGGTACAAGAGACAACAATGTGGAAAACAATTCATAGTGAATTCCATTCCTAAGTAAATTGCGATTGAGAACTGGTTACGTGTGATTTCAACCGTGATGGATACTAAGGAGTTCACGGAAACCAATCGGAAGGTAGATGGGTATCGACGATGTTTTTGCGTCTTGCTCATGCCTGGTGCTACTTAATGAGCCCAAGAGCGGACACCCCAGCAGAGCGAACAAACATTTTCCGCGAGGTTTTTGGTAGGGCCCGTTACACGCCGATGACAGAATGCATTCAATCTAACCACTTGTGAATTCGTGCAACTAAAATATTTGCACAGTAACTGAATGATTGATGCAGGACCATGAGACCGGACTTCACGAGATGAGTTATCACAAACAATGATCACATGTCATTGCTGTGTTACCAGAGAATGAATCTAACAATAAACAGACCACTACAACTTCGCTTGAGTGATTATAAACAGGGTTTTGGGAAATAATTCGTGAAGGTTACTTTACCCTTTGCAACTTAAATAATATTACCCTCTGTGTAGTACACTAACCTATTTATCCACTGAGAGCATCACCTAAATCTCGATAAGGATTTAAAATTCGTATCGCCAATACCCATTTGCTATATGACATTATTCAGAAGCAATGAGACACAATATCATACAAAACAGAAAGCAGCAGAAGCAATTTATCCCATCCTCCGGTAGTTGGGTTTAAATTTCTTTTTAAACAGATGAAGTACTGGATGCTACAAAATAGACAATATTACTGGCAGATCTGAAACTTACCCCGAATATCCGGGTTATTCAAATCCAAATTGATAAGTTCGCGAAACAGGCTGACAAGGAAAAGTATTACCATGATTAAATAGAGAATGGGAATTGATGCTAATGCTGTTAAACGCGCAAACTTATTTACCACCAAAAGAAGGGAAACTAGGAGCATTAAGATGATTTACTCAATTAAGTAAGCATAGAAATGGCCAGTAGATAGAGAAAACCAAGATTTACAGGATAACATTCAACGTATTTCTCGATCGACTAAAAAAGATTTCAAGTCCCTTGCTCTGTCCAAGCATTTTGTGGTCTGAAAATCACGGTGGGTTCAGAGACCGTAGAAACAGGTGAACTTTTAGTAACTGGACATCATTCAACACCAAATCCGTTAGGCTATTTTCAGCAGACACAAACACTTGGAAACATTGCATCTGTTCCGGCTGGGAAACAATAAAAGCGCCTGTTCGACGGCTCGAACCCGAACTCACAGGGCTGTCCCACGCATAACCACAAGTCAACCCGGGCTGACTCCAGCGGTTGATGTCAGATATACACTAAGTGATACATTGCTTACCGCTCTGCCCTACAGGGCGTTGACAACTGAGATCCAGATGGGTTTCAAGATAGCATCTTCTCAAGTTTGTCTGAGCGGGCATTGCCGAACTATTTAGGGTCACTTGGTTTATTTCAATATCGGGCCACCGCATGATTAATTACCAATCTGGTACTAACCAAATGAACATTAGCATGTCTAAGATTGAAATACCATTTTACTTCGCAGGCCTTAAATTTATACCCAAAGCAGGCTTTGAATTTTATTCAGAGTAATGAAGAGTCGTGAAGCACAAAACTATGACGAAATTTGCATCAGACATCAAAAAACAAATATTAACAATGACAACTTCGAAGCATATAGTGAAACACGTTGTTCCGCTTTTCACATAACCTTAAAGAATACTAATCAAACAGATGAACCAGTCTGGTGCGATAGGCCAGGTAGTAAACTTATGAATCAAACGACAACTCATAGTAGGGATCGTAACGCTCGTATAGCAGATGTTTTGCATGCTGATTGTAACTTACGCAGTACAATGGCACTTACCCGAAGTAACGCTGAACACCGCCTTGAAAGAAAAATGCGTGAAGCATCCCACCTTGAGGGCCTTTATGATTTGGATCATGCAACAGTAGGTTAGTCATACGCACAGCAGCGTAGCGCATAGCGCAAAGCAATCTTGGTGAAGCTCTGTGGTTTGCAACTACCGTCGGAACCTCCCAAGACAAAATACCAGTCAACACTTGCGATACTTGCGACAGAGCAACGTACTTCGTAAAGCTTGGAATCTGCTCATTAGATGTCAAGTTCATTCGTCTGCGACGATAGCTGACCTGATTGCGATTTGCGAAGAATCGCCCCCAGGCTGTGAACAATTCTGTCACGGAATTGATCAGAAAGGCAGTCACATGTACAATTCGGTGCGTGGCCTTAACTAGATCTGCGGAGAGAGAAAAAATGAAACCAATGTGTTAATTACGATCGGAGGCCGTGGACGGAAAGATCAATGACAATATTTTACATTTTCAGACGAAGCCGCAAAATTACACGGACGCATCGATGTAAGATCACCTGTCTAGTCACGTGCATATTTAATCATAAACTTTCATGGTGAGCAGAAGCGAGACCATTTTTTAGCAGTTCAACATAGTTTGTTTATCACTAGATGCATGAAAATATTCTCACATACTGATAAACCAAGATGCAGTCGAGCGCCACCATTGGATAAGGCCCAATGCATCACGTGAGAACTCACTATGAAGAGAAAACATGAAGTACTTTACCACTGATTTTTTTNATACACCAGTGAAACATTTTACCCACGCGAAAATCCCCATTGATTTTTATAGAAAAAGACAAAGCGAGACAAATTCGCTGTTAATGAATTCAGGCAACCACTGTGCCAAAGACAAGCTGTCTTGATTTCC